TAGCATATGGCTTATCAAAGCTTTTTTTATATATTTAAAAAAACTAATATTTCAAATTTTATAAAAATAAGTTGCTTGAATGTTTTTAATATTTTATTTGAAATAAAAAAAGATTAAATTTAAAAAATTTTACAAATTGAAATTTTTTTTTATCATTTATATTTCTTTGATTTACTTTTAACTTATGAATCTAAAAATGTAAATAATTGGCAACACGTGATCATCTTACCTGAGGGTGAGGGGTAGGTGCTTATATTAAAATTATATTAGCTAATATATGTCAGTGCCTTAATATAGTTGTAGCTTTTTAATAATATTAAAATTGTGTCTGAAAGTAGCAAAAGAAATTAATTAGTAGAATGAATATATTCCTCCTATAATATGGTTACTCAAAAAATCTTTGACAATAGATTTGAAACTAAAAGCAATGGTATTAATGATGCTAAGCTGAGCGCCAATTAGATTTTTGTGAGAAGAACGGTTGTAAGGATATTTTCATAAATGAAGTAGAGATGAAGGTTGAAGATTAAGTGATTGTGGTTGGAAGAGGCGAATTGAAGATACATTGAAATAAAGACCTGTCAAATTGAATTGGTTAAGGAGAGTAATTGTGAAGGATTTGATTTGAAGGGACCAAAGATCGTGTAGGTTATAATATTTGTTGCTATTTAAAATGGCAGTTGGAATTGTGATAGCAAAATTAGACTTTCATTTAAAAAGAGTTCTAATAGAACTAAAGTAAACATTACATTCACATTCAGAAAGAGGTGTGCATTGTAATCTATATTCTAAGAGTGGATAAAGAACAGCATTAATTATGTATGCAATTTATTTATCTGTGAGGGGTTTGGGTTTCATGACTGCTGCAAAATTGTTAATATCTTTTTGGGTTTGAGTTTTGACATAAGTTTGAGAGTTTGAATGGTTAATTCAAATTCCTAAAAATCATACAGAATTTTTGTTCAGGTATAATAGTAACGTCAGAAGAACCAAAATTGATGTTGATGGATTGAGATGCGAATGATTTTGTTATAATAAGCTTAGATTTGATTTATTTAAAGTAGCTCTAGTTAAGTTGTAAAAGTCATCTGCTATTGCAAAAATCTCTTCTAAGTTACATTGAGAATCAGCAATTCAATTAGTATCATCCATGAAAGCTAAAGAGGAAATGGATTCTGAAAGAGTTGTAATAGTGTTACTGATGATGTTGTTAATCCATGTATGTGAGTTGTTGTATCTTTTGTTTAAAGTATCAACTTCAAACAAAATTGGATCAAGGTAGATGCACCATAGTAATGGAGAAATAACCTCTCCTTAATCAATACCAATTTTAACATCATAATAATCGATAAGTTTATTAGTTGTAAAAATAGCATTTTTTCTATTGGTGAAGAGATTGATAATTAAATCTATGCATTTAGTGGGAATCTTAATTCATTGTAAAGTGAGATGAAGAAATTTGAGATCTATATGATCATAAGCTTTTGAGAGATCTTGCAATAAAATCCATAACTCTTTTTTGTTTTCATTGGTATCTTCTAATAACATATTTATAATTTTGATTGGTTTTTCTATAGAATCTTCAGGTAAGCCAGCAAAATTGTTACCTTTCAGGACATGGTATTTGGCGAGAATATTTGAGAGCTGATTTGTAATTATTTTGATAAATGCTTTTCGTATAATGTAATTAGATGAGTCTTTGTAATATCACATTCCTATTCCATTGGTTTGAGAATTAGATATATATGTGCAATTTTCTATTCACTAGGAGTGTCATCAATAATGAAATACATGCAGATTAATTGCTAAACCAAATATTTGAATTTATCGCCCAAATGTTGAAACATCTTATTATGTATACTTGAAAGTCTAGCAGCTTTGTCTTTTGCTAAACGTGAAAGAATAGAGCACTATTCATTATAGGTAGGAGGTTGCATGAGATTATTGTATATGATATCAGATATATATTCCTTTGGTTGATATTATGAGGTCTATCTACTATCTAAAGATCTTGGAAGCATTGATGGTAAAGCATTATTTTGGAAGTGATTGATTGCAACTTTTTAATTTCATCAGAATCTAAGGTGAAACGTTTAGAGTCATCATCATGATTGATAAAAATACGGTCCAAAGTAATTTTCCTTTTTTTCCTTTATAAAATAGAATCAATCATTCGATTAGGTTAAGATTGTAATTGATCGCATTTTTTTTCAATGAGTGTTTTAATCTGTGCATCAGTATTCTTCTTCGCATCAATTTTGGTAAGCTTATATAATACTTTATAGATGCTATTAAGAGATTTTTTGATATTTCTAACATTTGATAAATTAATAAAAAGAGGCAAGGGGTCCAAAGAATATAAAATATCTTTGATAATAGTAGCAATAGTACAGTGAACTCTTGATATAACGAATTCTAGGATCTGGATATCAACTTTGTTATAAGCTTATAACGAATTTTTTAAAGAATTTAATTGGCTAGTTCACTATAGTAAAGGTAATTTTAATATATTTGATTTAAAAATTCGCTATATCAAGGGTTCGCTATATCAAGGTTTGACTGTATTTAGATCACACTTCCATTCATTACCAATAGGCCATATACATTCTAATATTTTTTTAGAACAGAATTTTAAAAGAATCTTTCAATTTTAGTAAGTGAAAAATAATATTTAGATAGTTCTTTTGGTTTAGGTGCACGGTCTTGTGAAGAAATAATCCATTTATGAGGGATTTTGGAATTACTAATGGCTAATACGTCTTGTTTTAATTCCATTCACAGATTATTCATATTGATGTGGTTGGGTTTAAGATCTTTCAAATGATCAAAGTGGTAGTTGTTATAATAGGTATTAGAATATTCAGCAACTCTTATCCAATTTGAGAAATTCATGGATTTAAGAAAAGGAACCTTTCTTTTAGTATTATTGATCCTTGAACGAGCTTAAGATTCATACTGTATATCAGAAAAGTAAGCAATAACAATCTCATAATCTGAATTATAGAGATACGAATGAATTATATTACAGTAAAGAAAATCAGAAATAAGATTCTGAGAAGCAAAGATTACATCTATTCGACTAGAAGTATTCAATTTTTTGTACGTAGTTAAGGGTGTATCATGACAAATGTCATACAAGTTCAAGAAGTTTCTAAGTATAAGACCATATACGAGATCATACTTCCAAGGAATAGTTTTACCAGAATCAATGAGGTATTATAATTTGATTAGATCTACATTAAAATCGCTCATAATGATAATGTGAAAATCAGACTGAAGACTAATTGTCTATAAGTCATAATAATGTTGTTTGTAGGACTTTTCTTTCTTTAGATTCAGTGGCACAGATATAAACTGAGAAAACTCTTAGTTTTATATTTCCTTTTAAGTAAAGATCAACATAAATATACCGATCATTATCCAAGAATTTTTTAGCAATATGCTTTGACCAGGATTTGCTGATAAGTAAACCAACACCTGAGAACTTATTAGAGACAGAACTCCACAAAATATCAAAAAAAGATAGAAGAACATCTAAAGAATTGTGAAAATTGATGCTAAGTTTACGATAAAGCAACAAAAGTTAAACGTTCTTTTGGTGAAAAGTATCTAGTATCTTGTTATTTTTAACATCATCATGAAGAGAATGTACATTATGAATAGCAAAGGTAAGAGTATTTCTATTTAAAATTAAATTTCTATCATCATTATGTGAATTTTCTAAATCGTTGTCTATAATGAGAGCGAGTTGGTTACGTGATGAAAGTAAATTATGAGAAAGGGGAGTATTATTATTAGTAGGAAGACATTGATTATTATTATTAATTAAATTTGTAGAGACATTTTAGGTAATAGAATATTATTCGTTATATTAATCATTAATGGATGTATAATGCAAGGTATATCTAGAAATGAGGTGGGTTTGCATCAAGCGTAAACTGTTCAATCTGTTTGAACATTAAATCTATTTGCCTTTTTTGTTCAATTATAATGGCAGCTTATTCATTGATCATATTAATTAGATCAGGTTTTAGAGGCACAGTTTGTGAGGTTAAAGACTCATCACTTGATAATCCAGCAATGCGAGATCTTTTGTTAGGTGTATCTTGTGATCTTGAAAGTAAAGAAGAGGTAGGTGTGATAATGATAGGATCTTTCCCTTTATTGACAATGGGTAATGGGATCTCGGGGTCCTTGATATGAGAAAAGGCTTGAAAGGATTCTAACTTGACAATTCTAGCATTTAGATCATTCATATCTTTTTCATATTGGAGAGAATGGAAAGAATTTAGTCGAGTTTGTTATTGATATTATTATTAGGATTATGAACAGAATCTTTTACAGTTGGTTTAATAATATCTATTAGTGATGGAGGTGATAAAATCTTTTTATTTTTTATGGACTCAGAATAAGATTTTGAAAAATGATTGGATCTATTAGAATCCACAAATTTTCTAAAGCCGGCAGGTTTAAATTTGTTGTAAAGTCTTTGCATTGAATTATTTTGAGTGGGTGTCTTTGGTTTAATAGGTTCTTTACTGTCATTTGGTGTAACTGATTTTTGTAAAAAAGGCATTTCATAATAAGATGAGCTAGATCGTTACATTTATGACAGCTTCTAATATCAGGAGAACACCACATCAGTTGATTATTACCAAAAGCAAAATTTTGTTGAGTTGCATGGTTGAGAGCTTCCTCATTTTCAAAGTGTAAAATAACAAAGGGACGAGGCTTATAGTTGTTAGATCTAGGAATATAACTAGCTCTGGCTTTAGTAGCAAGAATGATATCATGAAGATATCTTGCAGAGATACCAAAAGGAAGATTTGTTAATTTGATACGATGTGTATTCCTATATTTAATTTCTTCTGAAGACAAAGTGCAAGGATTGATACGAACAGAATCATTTTGGACGAAACAACTTCATACTTGATAAAATAGTTCAATATATTTAGGATTTTCGTAAGTAATATAAGCATATTGCCATATACCTCTTACTGTCATTTTAAAATCAGTACAGTTCTATATTTGGCAAAATCTTGTTTGATATTAGCAGGTTTCATTTGTAATGAAATATCAGTAACATGAATAATCCTTTTGTTAAATTGCATATCAGCTTTGTATTGAGAGAAATCACAGAAGGTATTGATCTTAAGATCAGGAATAGTCATTTATAAAGCTACGGTAGCTGTATCTGATATTTCAAAGAAGATAATTACTGAACGCGTCAAATTGATATGACGAACTAAACTCCTCTAAAATCATCATTTTGAGCAAAATCATTATTGATGGCAAGAATAATTTTGCTGTTATTCTTTTCTTTAGGTGTAAACTTAATATTACTAGTAACTGCAAAGGTAGTAGCTTTTGTAATAATGGTGAAATCTTTTAAGTCTTCTTCTATATCATCGTCTTCAAGATATTTGTCAGGGTCCAAAAGTTTTGACCTATCTTTAGATGAAGAAGTGTTTTCAGAGATATTATTAACTTTTATGTTATTATTATTGTTGATATTCGAATGCAGAATAACTGGTGAAATTTTGTTGGGGGTAGCAATTTTAAATATGCCAAAAACTTCCAACCAATTTCTTTATTTGGTAGTGAGCCAAAAACTTTTTGGACAATTTCTAAATCAAGGTTTATGAGAACTGAAGTTGAGGTTAAAAAAGACGAAGGAGCTGGAGTAGAACTAGTAGCTTCCTTTGGAGCTTTTGGAGTAACATATGAAACAAATTTAGGGTCACTGTTTTTTTGTTTCATGATGCTTTTATATGTCATAACTCTCTCGCTTAAGTAAGAAGTTAGGGTATAAACAAAATAATCTTCTTTATACTGGGTTTATTAATTATTTTTTTGTTAAAAATGAACTTTTAAATTTTTTATTTTTTTATGAAAATTTTGGTTTTGTAAAATAGGGGAAAGAGTTTTTTATTATTCCAATTTTTAAATAAATTGAATTTAATGTATATTTTGATATTAATTACACATTATATGACGAATATCATAAAAGAAATTATGCGTCTTTATGCATAAAAGTTATACAAAATAAATTCAAACTTAAATTAAAGCTAAAAATGATATTAACATTTCCCAAAATTAATTACTATTTATGTAATTAATTATGTCTATAAGTTTTAATTACCACTCCTGTAATAATTATGTTTTCCGTAATTAATTATCACCCCTGTAATTAATTTTGCAATTATGTTTATTTTAAAAAAAATGGTAATTAATTATCATAATTATGTATTACATATATACTTAATTAAGATAATTACCATGGCATGTATATACAAAATATCATTATAATTATATAAATAAATTACTAGATCATTAATGATTTTTTAGTAAAATAATGATCTAAAACATAAATTTTATGATGTTTAAGAAGACTAAGAAATTTAACTTACAAGTTAAATTTTTTTTTGACCTTTATATAGCTCAGATCTTATTTGATTAAAAATATTTAGATACTTTTAAAGAAAAAATCAAGAAAATGAAGATATAGAAAAATATTTTTAATTAAAATTTTTTTAGTATAACTAGGAACAAATGAAATTATTTTAATATTTCTGTTATAATTAATTATATTAATAGTATATATTAATTAATAAAAAAATATATAAAATATTAAT